AGTCGTACCGCCTGTGGCCTCCACAGTTCCAGACATGGTCTAACCATACAGAAAGTACAGCAGGCTGCAGGAGGCTGGCACTCAGTGACGGACCTCGCACATGCTTTCCTCTCCACCTCGATCTCTGAGAAGAGCCGACCCCAGCTTGCCTTCCCCTGCGAAGGAGCCTGATTCACAAGGACTCTGCTGCCTCGGAGTTCTCTGAACTTACTGGCTTATTGCCACAGCTTGGTCAGGAGGGAGTTGGACTTGATGCGGGTCTCAAGTGTAATAATACACTATATTGATGACATCGTGATAATATCAGAAACCAAGAGCAGGCTAGGACCAATCTGAACATGATAGTGGTGTACATGACCAACTGGGGCTGGTTAATAGAGCCAGCAAAGGGCTAAGGGCCTGCTCACACAGTGAGATTCTTAGGAATAACATGGGCAGGAGCCACCCCGGGCTATCCCACAAGTGACTAAAAATAAACTGCTGTCACTACCTACACCCAGAACCAGACAAGAATCCCAGTGTTTGGTTGGTTTATTTGGATTTTGGAGGATGCATATTCCACACCTGGGAATATTGCCAGCTCCCATCTATAAGACTACACAAAAGAAAGCTGTATTTGGGTAGGGACTTGAACAAAATCTGGCCATGTCTGAATTACAAAAGGCAGTCATGCTCTCAACACCTCTGGGCCCTTATGACCCCCACTCATGATTTTGGAAGTGCCAGTCACCTATACCCACGCAGACTAGAGCCTGCAGCAGAAACCCATGGGTGCCTTACAGCAGTGACTATTGGGATTTGGGAGCAGAAAATTTCCAGATGCCTCTGCCCAGTACACACCATTTGACAGACAATTATTAGCATGCTATTGGGCATTAACTGAGACTGCCTCAATAACTTAAGGACATAAAATAATTTTGAAACCTGAGATACCCATAATGTCATGAGTGATACCAGAGAAATACTATAATAAGGAAGGCAGTGCCCAGCAGAAACCACTGTTCTGATCACAAAGGGCTGGCTAAAGCGAACTGCCAGCCAAGGTGGACTGAGACCACTGCCAGCACACAGAAGAAAGGCAGCCCTGCCCACTGCCCAACTGGGGCTCCACTGCAGAGGAGAACCGGGCACTGGAGAGGAAGGAGTCGTGAGCTTCTGGGCGCCACAGGACACCTTCTTCATAAAGCCATTACTCTCTAGAGTAGGAAGCAGAGCGGATTCATCTAATACAAAGGAAGAAACACAGAAACCCTAATAAAAGGGAGGTAGAGGAATATGGTCCAAACAAAACCATAGGATAAGACACCAGAAAGAGAGCTAAAAGAAACAGAGATCACCAATCTTCTTGAAACAGATTTCAAAGTATAAAAGTCATAAACATGCTCACAGATCTGCAGAAAAGTATTGAAGATCTTAGGGAGGACTTCAACAAAGAGATACAAGAACTGAAAAGACCCACTCAGAGCTGAAGAATACTGTAACTGAAATGAAACATACAAGGGAGGGGATGAATGATGGATTGCTGCAGAAGAGGAGACAATCAATGGGATGGAAATCAGAAAACAGGGAGTTAAGGCACAGAGAGAAAAAAGGATCTCTAAGAATGAAAGAATGCTAAGAGAGCTGTGTGGCCAATCCAAAGAAAACAATATTTGCATAATAGGGGTACCAGAAGGAACAGAGAGACATGAAGGGGTAGAAAGTCTCTTTGTGGAAATAATTGTTGAAAACTTCCCCAGTCTGGGAAAGGAAATAGATACCCAGGTCATGAAAGCACAGAGAGCCCCTAGTAAAAGGAACCCTGAGAATATAACACCAAGACATATACTAATTAAAATGACAAAGATTAAGGGTAAGGAGAGAGTATTGAAAGCAGCCAGAGAGAGAAAAAAAATTACTTATAAGGGAAACCCCATCAGGCTATCACAGACTTCTCAGGAGAAACTTCACAGGCCAGAAGGAAGTGGAATGAAATATTTAATGTACTGAAACAGAAGGACCTTCACCAAGAATCCTCTACCCAGCAAGATTATCATTCAGATCTGAAGCAGAGATTAAACAATTCCCAGATAAACGAAAGCTCAAGAATTTATAACCACTAAACCAGCATTACCACTAAACCAGCATATGTTAAAGGGACTGCTGTAGATGGAAATGTACCTAAGGCTAAATAGTTTACACAAGTGAAAATAAACTTACCATAAAGGTAGTAAACCAATTACTTACCAAGCAAGTACAAAATTAAACCAAAAGTAGTAAAACCAACTATACATAAAATCAGTCAAGGGATACCCAAAAAGTGTAACTTACGACATCTAATACATAATGTGTAGAGAGGGAGGAAGAAGAAAAAGGAGCAGTTTCAGATTGTGTTTGAAATAGAACAATCAGCAAATCAATACAGACTGCTGTATAGTCAGGAAGCTATCCTTGAACTTTTGGTGACCGCAAACCTAAAGCCTGTAATAGATACACAAAAAATTTTTAAAGAGAAATCCAACCACAACACTAAAGAAAACCATCAAATAACAAAGAGTGTAAGAGAGGAAGAAAGGAACAGAGAGGAACTATAAAAACAACCATAAAACAATTAATAAAATGGCAGTAAGTACATACCTATCAATAATTACCTTAAATGTAAACGGAATGAATGCACCAGTCAAAAGACACAGAATGGCAGAATGGATAAGGAAACAAGACCCGTCTATATGCTGCCTACAAGAGACTCATTTCAGACCCAAAGACATACACAGACCAAAAGCGAAGGAATGGAAGAAGATATTTCATGCAAACAACAGAGAAAAAAAAGCAGGAGTAGCAGTGCTTGTATCAGACAAAATAGATTTCAAAACAAAGAACGTAACAAGAGACAAGGACATTACATGATGATAAAGGGCTCAGTCCAACAAGAGGACAGAACCAGTACAAGCAGCTCTGCACCAACACAGGAGCACCTACATATGTAAAACAAATACTAACAGAATTAAAGGGGAAATAGAGTGCAACGCCTTCATTTTGGGAGACTTCAACACACCACTCACATCAACAGACAGAAAATGAATAAGGAAACGGAAGCACTGAAAAACACATCAGATCAAATGGACTTACTCTACAAAGCACTCCACCCAAAAGCAGCAAGATACACACTTTTCTCAAGTGTACATGGAATGTTCTCCAGAATACATCACATACTAGGGCACAAAAAGAGCCTCAATAAATTCAGAAACACTGACATTGTATCAAACAACTTCTCAGACCACAATGGTATAAAACTAGAAATAAATTACACACAAAAAAAGCCTGCAAACACATGGAGGCTGAACAGCATGCTTCTTGACAATCAATGGATCAATAAACAAATTAAAACAGAAATCAAGCACTACATGAAGACAGATGAAAACAAAAATTCAATAGTCCAAAATCTGTGGGATGCCCCAAAAGCAGTTCTCACAGGGATGTACGCAGCAATAAAGGCCCACCTCAGGAAACAAGAACAATCCCGAATAAACAGTCTAAACTCACAATTAAAGAAACTAGAAGAAGGCAGGCAGAGCCCAGAAGAGTTCCATAATGAAGTGGAAACGGTTCCTTCAGGAGCAGGCTGTCGGGGGGACGCGAGGAGGCCCACAGCGGGCCCATGAGCAGGTGGGCCCTGCTCTTTTCCTCCAGGACCACCGCTGGGTCCCCCTGACAAGGTGCTGATCACTCGTGGGCTGTGCCCCGTGAACGCCCTCAGCTGAACAAGGGCTGCCTGGTTTACCGATGGCGGTTCCAAGGTGAACGACAGTATCCTGTTTGGAAAGCTGCCACCTAAGGCCGGAGGATGGCAAGCCTCTGGTGGAGGAAGGTAAGAACAGATCAGCTCAGCGGGCCGCGCTGCAGGCTGTGTTCCTGGCAGTGATGGGAGAACCGAACAGCGATGAAAGCCCGTCTGGATTTGTACTGACTCATGGGCTGTAGCCAGTGGTCAGGTAGGGCAGTGGAAAACTGGACTAATAAAGGAATGCCACTGTGGGGCGCAGCCCTATGGAAATCACTCTGGGGATTTAAGGGGAGCATTAAGGTAGGGCATGTCAGTGCCCACCAGAAGGTGACTGGAGCTGCCAGGTGGACCTGTGGGTACGCTCCCCTGAGGCGGCCACCTGGGTCCCTGAGGTGAGAGGGTGTGGGGAAGCTGCGGCAGTGCCGAGACGGGCTGACTCGGGTCATACTCCGCTTATATCCTGTGAGGCACAGAATGCTGAGAACTGCTCTGTGTTTCAACAAGAGAGACAAGGACTGCAGGTGGCTACAGGGAATCCTGGGGGGGAGTCCCCACACATAGCTGGCACGTGGACTACACTGCACCAGTGCCAGGAGCCCCTGGGGGCTGTAAGTGGGTCCTAACTGGAATAGACACTCACTCTGGACTGCACTATGCATACCCAGTGGTAGATGCAAATGCTCAAACCACCATTAAAGGATTGGAACAGAAGATACTGTACCAATTTGGACCACCAAGTTACATCTCCTCAAACCAAGGGACAACCTCACAGCCCATGGTTGCAATTGCGGGTGCCAGAAGCTGGGAAGATTACCAAGCAAGAGACTGTAACGTTACCCTTAAATCTTTATGTGAGAATTCCTAAGGGCCTGTTGGGTGGACTGTGCCTTCACCGCATGTGGTCAGGTCGGGGCTGACAGTGAGTGCAGCTGGGCTGCCTAGTGGCCAGAACGGCCCGCTAGCTCTCACCCGGGTCACCCTGCCCTACGTGAGGGGGACTGGACTGAGGGGGAGGCCCTTGCTAGACCAGTATCGCTGCCGGTGCAGTAGTGGAATCTAATGTCCCTTCCACAGGCAGGAAAGTCTGGCTAATAAATGACAAATGCAGAGAAGGAGAAATTACGCCTGAGGGCGGAGGGATGATAAACGGGCCATGTAACCAAGGAAATCCAACCTTCTGTTAATGCCTGGAGAGAACCTCAGAGCAAGAGACTAGCATCCCTTAGCAAATGCATACCAGGTGCCCGGGAGGGTGAGGCTGGATGTTTCACCACTTCTGCCTTTGGACGCTGGCGAGGTCGAGTGACCGCCTGCAAACAGGAGTTCTGTCGCTCTGGGTCCCAACTTCCAGGTCTCAGCGCCTGGGCGCCCGCACGTCACAGGCAATGCCTGGACCTCAGTGCAGTCGCAGGGCCCTTACCTGCGGACCCGCTCCAGCTCCAGGCGGTGCAGCCGTAACTGCCGCTGGTACAGCTGCTGCAGGTCCTCCCGCTGCCCAGCCTCGCTGGCGAGCGCCTGCTTCAGCTTGGCCACCTCGATCTTGAGCTCGCTCACCGCGGCCTGCTGGGCCTCCTCCTGCCCCCGGACAAGGCCGAATGCCGCATCGTAGCGCTCCAGCTCGCGGTCCCGCTCCTCCAGCACCTGCAGGTTGTAGACGAAGTCCTCCTGCAGGCGCCGCAGCTCCCCCTGCGCCTCCTGCAGCCGGCCGCGCGCGTCCTGCAGAGCCGCCTCCTGCAGCCGGGAGCCGTGGGCCCGCAGCGCTCTCCACTCTTCCTCTTTGCGGACCAGCAGCTCGGTGAGGGCCTGCCCTGAAGGCGGCGGCATTGCGGCGGCTGCAGAAAAGGAAAGGTGAGCGCTGGACTCCCCACGAGGGGCTCCGCCTGTCCTTCCCCGCGCCCACCTCAGGCCGCTGGGCAGGAAGTGCGTCGCGGACCAGGAGAATGCCCCGGGCCCGCTTCTGCCCCAGGGCCCCGGGGAAGCAGGGAGGGCTCAGCGCAGTGGGTCCAGGGCCGGAGGGGAAGCGTGGGTGCCACGGCTGAGAAGCACTGGGGGCCCCTCACAGGGCCAGGCCGCATCAGGCACTCTCCCACTCCGCAGGTGCGGGCACTGAGGCAGCCACGCGCAGCACTGGATTCCCCCCAGGAGCCGGTGGAAGCACGAAAACAAGAGTTTTAGACACTTGTTTACACTTGCGGATTATTACTGGCTCTGAGCTCAGCATAACCGTCCTCAGAACACAAAGTAAAGCAGGAGAACACGTGACCTGCACCGGGCTTGGGCACTAAGGGCTGTGTAACTATCAATACTGACGCGTATCTAACTGAGGACCTGCGGGAAGCTGAGCACCCAGAACGCCAGGACCGGCACAGAGCCGCATCTTTCACAGGGTCGCAGGAAGGCGACCCCTCAGGCGAAGCCAGATTTCCTGGCACTGGCATCCAAATCTGAATGAACTCCTCACCTAGGTCTTCCATAAATGAGGTGGGGAAGGGGAACGCAGGACGGAACACACAAAGGGCCTGAGCTGGACTGATTAGCCAGATTCCGGAGTAACAGGCAGAACGGCCTGCGGGCCATGAAAGCTACGGAGGAAACGGGATGGCACGAGATCATACCAAGGTGGCACCCAGCTGGACCTGGGACAGACCTGTGACCTCACTAAAACCTCACTTACATAGTAAAAACCATGCCCCTCGGCGCCATGACAGTTTCCTGTTGTCGTGGCAACCCCCAGAAGAGCCCTGATAAGGAAAACACTCCCTCTTCTGGAAAGTCTTCCCAGAAAAACCATGCCGACTCTGCCCCTTGCGCTACGTACTGTGAGTGCCCCACAAGAGCGCTAAGAGGCCCCCGGGGGGCTACTCTGCCTCCGGAGCAGCCGTGCTCCGCACCTCCCGCCTCCTACTCATGAATCCGCCTCAAGCTGTACCCCAAGGATTTCTGTCCGGAGTGTAGCCAAGAGCCCTCCACTAAGGTCCCCCCACAGTCTCCTGTCGCGTGAGGGCAGTGCGGACGCAGCGCATGGCTTGGTGTGATCTCTCTGTAAAGCACCAGTACTTGGGCCTTCGCAGGCCGCAGGCTGTGTCACACTCAGCTCTGGGTGAGAAGAGCCACGGGGATGGGGAGCGACCGGGCAGGGTCCGGCCCACGGGCCTGCTTTGCTGTGAGCAGGGGACGCCCTCACCAGCACCTGTGTGACAGATGCTGCCACTTCCTGCAGCTGCTCCTCGCAGCCCCTGACCCTAGGGCGCCAAGACAAGACCAGTCTGGACACTAACATCCACCCACAACTCTTCCCTGGGGTCCCAACAGGCCCGGGCCAGCCTCAGGTCGGGGAGAACGCGCATGCGCCGCGGGCCCAGCTCGACTCGGGGGCCCGCCTTAGAGAGGGGCAGGGTGCGGCGGGAAGGCCACTCCAGTCCCAGAGGGAGAGGCCGAGGCAGCGGGAGGGGCCGGAGAGGCTGCGGGGCCTGCGGGGCCCTGGGATGCTGTGGTGCGGCAGGAACCACAGATCTGGTTTCTGGCATGCCGCTCCTTAAAATCCTTGTAATTTCCTGAGCAACTGGAAGCCATAGGAGCACTCTTATTATATTCAGTTTTGGTGCTCAGTTCCTGAAATAACTCCAGGCGATAGGGAGTCTCCTGTCGTTCCTGACAAACCTCTTTCAGCCACACCTGGATTCACGTCAGCGAGGTGACCCAGAGGGCTCGGACAAGCGCAGGACCGAGGCTGTGTGCCGGGGGGCGGCCGCATGGCCAGAGGGCTGCGACTTTCAGTTCCGCCTCCCAACTTCCAGGAGGGGGAAGGAGCTAGAGGTTCAGTCGGTAGCCAGTGGTTCACTCAATAGTGCCTGTGTGATGAAGCCTCCAAAAAACCCTCAGCGAGGGGGTTCAGAGAGCTTCGGCGTCTGTGAACACGTGGGGTGTGGGGACAGTGGCACCTGGAGAGGCCATGGAGGCTCTGCACCCTTTCCCCACTCCTTGCCCTGCACATCTCTTCTGTCTGGCTGCTCCTGAGTTACAGTTTCTGTAATGCACAAGATAGTGCACACTGATTCTACAACCAAGCAGTGATCTAGTAAATGGACTGTTTTCCCGAGTTCTGTGAGCTGCTCTAGCAAACTAACGGAACCCACGGAGGGGGTCATGGGAGCTCTGACTTACAGGCAGGCAGGCAGAAGCCCCGGTGACAACACGGTCTTGCGACTGGCACCTGAGGTGGGGAGGCAGCACGGAGGGACCGAGCTCTTAACCTGTGGGGCCTGTGCCAACCCCAGGCAGCTAATGTCAAAATTGGGTTAGACTGCAGGACACCCACCCGGTGTCTGTGAGGCTTAAAGAACACTTGGTGTAGAAAAAGCCCCGCGCGGGGCAGGGTGAAGCGGAACGCGGCGAGAGCCCAGGAAGGTCCCGGAAGCAGTCACAGCCTTTTGGGGCAGCAGAGCTCCCGGCATCCTGCAGCCTGGTCCTCCCAGGGCGGCCTCCCCGCTGGGCCTGGAGCGGCCAGGGCTCCTCCGCGGCAAAGCCGAGGCGCCGGCCCATGCAGGCTCCCCTCTAGCTCACCCCTGCTGCGAGCCAGACCCCAGCACACCCGCGTGTTTCTCCTCAGCTGCAACGCGTCCTTCCAGGCACCTGCTTGCCATCTCAGTAGTTGAATCACTGTTGTATACTTGAGACCAATACAATATTGTTTGTCAACTATACCCCAATTTAAAAAAACAGGGTCCCTATAGACCACCTAAGCAGCCCACCTCGTGCTTCTGCCCCAGTCCCCCTCAGCTCTTTTCAGTGGCACCCCCTCCATGCAGCTGCCCAAGCGGAACAAGTGGAATCAGCCCACACCTCCCGCTGCCTCTCGTCCCCCAGGCCACGCTTGGCCACCGTCACCCCTCAGCTGAAGTCTCCCGCAAGAGCCCCCGACCTGGCCCTTCGGTCCCGACTCACCCTTTGATGGCCACCAAAGGGATCTTTTTTTAAAGAAAAGCATAACCCCAGGGCTTCTGTGATACAATGAGTTATAAGAAATACATATTTCCCAGGTGTATTTGGTCTTCATCCACAGTTCCTGAAAACACCACAGTCTTAAAGGTGAACCAGGTGTTTTGTCATGTTAACGAGAGACTTCTGGACCCCTGCCCAGGGGCAGGGCCGGAGGCTGAATCAGCCAAAGGCCGTGATTCAGTCCGGCCTGCCTACAAAGCCCTGAGAGGAGCTCCTCTCCCTCTGCTCTCTGCTGCCTGCTGGGTTGGGTCCCGCGGCCTGTGGGCGAAGGCTTCCACGCCTGGGGAACCGGACGCCTCCGCGGGCCACGGAGCCGGGCCCCAGGCCCCAGGCTCCGCCAGGACAGACGCTCCTGTATTCAGGACCTTGCCCTGTGTCTCTCCTCATGTGGCTGTTAACTTGTATCCTTGATGGTGTCCTTTATTAAACTGGTAAATCTAAGTGTTTTCCTGAGTTCTGCGAGCTTCTCTAGCAAAGTAATGGAACCTAAGGGGGAGCTGGTGGGAACCTCCCATCTGTAGCCAGCAGGTCAGAGGCACAGGGAGCTGCCTGGGTCAGGGTCAGGGTCAGGCGTCTGGGGTGGGGGTCTTGCCGGAGGAGCCCTTAACCTGGGAAGCTGGTGCTGCCTCTGGGCAGACAGCCTCAGAACTGAGCTCTCAACACTCTGCTGGTGTTGGAGAACTGCTTGGTGTAGGTGGGTGTGGGAAGACCCTCCTCCCACATACTTACAATGGGTCTGAGACCCATTGGCATCGGGTCTCGGTACCTGCATGAAGTTACACCACTATTACTGCTGTGTGTAATACTGTTACTGTTACACATACACATGGGGAAGAAACACACCATTGCATTTGGTGTCAGAGATCCGATAGCCTCCCATTCTACACGCGTGGATCTCAAGCCTCCTGCCACCATCACCTTCTTTCAGGGCTGGACACGCCAAGTGGCCCCATCAGCCTGGGCTCCGTGCCCCTCTGCCTGGGGTACCCCCAGCCTACATGCAGCCTGCCTCCCGCCACTGAGACCAACTCAAATAACATTCCAGGAAATCTTTCCTAATCTTCGATCCCATACTGCCTCGGTGCCTTTGCCCTATTCAGACCCTTGTCAGGAGTAGATGGTGCACAGCTTCTGCGTCATTCTTCTCGACATGTTCAATACAGTGTCCCCAACACTGGCAACTTCAGCACACAGGAGGTACTCAAAAGTATGTGCCAGTAATTAAATGGGAAACCATATCACATGATAACAAATAGATGGGCTCCACAGTACACTGTGTCCCCTCAAGAACCTGCACCCCCGGCCCCTTCCAAAACACTGCAGCCCCTCCTCCAGAGGCCCAGCTTCCTGGATGCGTGCACAGGCCTGTGTGCTGGGTGGTCTGAGACCCCTGGGCGGCCACACCAGAGGAGGGCACTGCACCACTGAGGAAGCTGGCCCACCGCCCCGGCCACTCCGGCCTCAGATACCCAAGCACCCCTGCCTGCCAGCCCTCACCCTTCAGATTCAGTCACCCCAGTCCATAATAACTTGATCTTTAAATGTCTTAATGCATGTGTTGATGAATTACAGAAAAATGAGGGGCATTTACTTTAAAAAGCTTTGGATTCAGTAAAAACTAGTTACTGGTTTCAAATTTAATCAGTGGCCAAGTATTTCCCCCAGAAGACAGCTAAGATTTCATGAAGTCACCTCAGATTCTGTTCTGAACCCCAATCCCTGGCACATAGAAGGTGACAACAACTGGTTGTTTAATTCATGAGCAAACCCCTGCTATTACATTTAGAGTGCTATGTCATTGTAGCCAGAAACAAGGATACTAGGGAAGATAAAATTCTCACAGATGCAGTAAGCTTTCTTAAATTCATTCATTTATTCACCTAGTGTTTGTTTAGCCCTTACTAGATGCCAGGCACTGTTTCACCTGCTGGGGACAGACAAGCAAGACCCCAACACTGCCAGGCTGTCATCCCGGCCGGGGCCAGAGAGCACCCTGGAGACAGATGTGCAGAGGATGACTTCCACGCCAGCAGAGCGGCCGGCGGCACAAGGACGGTCTGGACAGAGGCCGGGAAGCCTCTGCCCACAAGGGAAAGGTGGGAAGGGGCTCTCCCAGCCCTCAGGAGGCCTACCCGTCCTGCTCAGCCTGCAGTCTCGGCGCTCCCTGCAGGGCGCTCAGGACCCTGGGAGACCAGGTCACCGCAGATCAGGCCAGCCTCGGAGCTCAGGGAAAGCCCGTGTGGGGTGGCAAGAGTCACGGCAGCCCCCGCGGGTGTGGGTTCACTCACACTGACTAGACATCTACAGCTGCCCCCAAGACACCCAGGAGGCTCACAGGCCCAGCCACTGCTGTAGAGCCTCCCAAGTGAGGAGCCAGCGTGCAGCCTACTGAGACCGGGGTGTGGCACAGTCCTGCCAACAGAAGCTGATGCGCACTCAAGCCACCCACCTGCCTGGGCACACTCACAGGCAGAGTCAGGATCCAGGCAGATACACAGCATTAAATAACGCCAATGATTCTGTGATCTTCGATGACTTAGACCGACTCCTGAAGACCCATGAGGCATCACTTCAGAGAGCACACGGAGGTGGGCACGGCCGCCAGCCCCACCTCCTCCAAGGACTATTCATTAGGGCCCTGTCCTGTGTGGGCGTCCTGCCACCAGGCTCGCCTCTTAAATGCATTGGTCACACAGCCACCACTCTTCACCACTCAAAATCCTGATCATGTGGCACTGTGCCCACGGCTTTGACCATCTTCAAGGCTGCTTGGCACAGTATGCAAAGACCCCTGGGAAGAGGCTGTCCATATTGCTCACCACAGCTCCGTCTGTATTTCCAGCAGCTCCCCAGACAGAAACCAGCTTCTACTGTGAACACCAGATCCCACGGCACTCAGGACCACAGAGGCAAAGCCCAGTAAGCGCAGGGCTTGCTCCTTCCTCACCCCACCGCAGAACAGCCTGCCCTGCTTCTGTGTACCCAAAGGCTGGTCCTACAAGCGCTGGGGCTGAAATTCATTGGCTTTAGCTGCACAGCTTCAAGGTCTGGGTGCAATCTGTCTGTCTGCAGCAGATGTCCCCAGCAAGAACCCAGTTTTCATGAGAGCTCACAATAAACTTCTGGGGAAATGCAGAAGTCTCCCAAGAGCGTAAGGGCCACTGTTAACTTGGCCTGGTCCATGGCATCCACGGTGTTCTAGAAGAACCAGTGGGGTCAGGAGGCCTACCTCAGCAGGGACAGACCAGGATCATGCTAGGTCACCCCATCACTTTGACTTTCTCTTTTGTGAACTACTGAGCTTTCTCTTTTATCTACAGGGGATGTTGGAAGTTTACCTGTCAGGTCTGAAAAGCACTTGGAAATCCCCAGGTCTTAGGAAGATGGAACTAACTCCTCATGAAAGCCATGGCTTCTGTCTCATGGAAAACTTGCAGGCCCCAAACAGACACAGGCAGCAGAGCCCGTTTGGAAGACCACCTTAGTAATCAGCTAGCTTGAGTGCACGCCTAATATTTACAGGATGCTGCAAACGATATAGTGTGGAGCAGCTCAGGAGTTGCTCACCTGAAACCCACCAGGTCTGCAGTGGGTGACCCTAAGCGTGTGGCCCAGCCCAGTGAGAGGTCAAGGGAGCTAGCTGCACCTGGGGCTTGGTGCTCCGGGGGCAGAGCGCAGCAAGACAGAGGCTCAGAAGCCCGCATCTTCAGTTAGTGAGGGACTCAGATACTTCTTTACAAATTATGACAGGGCCAAGACTGCCACAGCCATGAACAGGATCCATGGCCAAGTCCTCTTAACAGCCAGCCTCAGTGTTCAGAGGAATGATTCAAGATGAAGGATGAGTCCCAGGGAACTATAAAAAGGAGCTATGTGGAAAACAAAGGACTTTGCAAGCACAGTGGGCTTTGCAAGGGGCTTGTGTTGGCCTGGTGGTACCCGCTCCCCATCAGGCTGCCGCAGTGACTATATGCCGGGTAAACAGGGAAGGGGCATGAGGGGACGATTCTGTCCGTGTCAATCTCAGCCCTCTACAAGACAACCAGACCATCAGAGGAAAACACGTCAAAGTCAGAGATGAACCCGCAGGTCACCCAATCCACAGATGTGACAGTGGAATCAATCACACTTCTGTTTGGCTGACCAAAAATTTGGTGCAGTTTGTTTTAGAGCATTTGGTAAGTTAATTGGAAAAGCATTGCACGACCTCAATAAAACATTAATAGTTGCAGACTCTAAACCACAAAAAGACCATCTTAAGGACTAAAGATGAGTAGATGGTTATAATCAAGCTGCCTAGGCACACTTGCTGGGCAGAGAGACATCCAAAGCAGGGGTTTGCTTTTATCTCCTTCCTCTGAAAAACCATGGTTCCAGATGCATCTGGCTTCCCACTCAGCCTCTAGTGAGACAAGCTCCACCATTCCTAATGCAGAAGAACCTAAATCTACTTCAGTAAGGAGTGCTGTCTTGTTGTTCCTCTGTAAATATATTTCATGAGCTTAATTTACAAAACATGTTCATGGGACTTGAAGAAAAGTCCAGAGATGGCTCATCTGCTCTGCACTCAGGACAAGTGGCTCAGCGCTGGCACCCTCTGGAATCACAACATGGGCTGTGTGGGATAAACTTAGTACACACAATCTTCAACGGGGTCTAGGGAATGAAAATTATGGGCCCATGACCCTCATCCTTCACTGACTGCCAAAGAGTACCCACAACCATTTGTAAAACCTGAAATAAGAGAGATGAGCCACAGATCGATTTGAATCCCATCACTGGCACTTGCCAGGGGTGAGGGGCACCACTGCAATAGGGGTATGCAGTCCTTCTTTATCTGAATTTACACTGCCAAATTCCCTTGCTGAAAAGAAAATAAAGTGTGTAAATGGACATAAAATGGAAGAGAAGTTTAATACTCTTGTAGTTAAGAGCTTAGACTCTGCTGACTTTTAGAACCCTATAAATGCTTCACATACCAAAACTTAAAATCAGTAAGGACTCAAATTGAACTATAAACAAGAGAACAAGTGAACCTAACTTTATTATAAATGAGTAATATAAAAGCACTAAAGTAACTTTGTAAAACAGTTTTTTAAATATATATTCTAAGGATAGAAACCAAAGCAACTATGCGCAAATATTACAGTCCAGTTCACAGGTTTACTCTTCACAGAAATACGGACTGGCAATTCTGAGATTACATTATGTGTAGTCTAAGATTGAGCAAATAGGTAAATATATTGAAGACAGTAGGAGCCAGATTTAGAGAGGAAAAGGAATGTAGAATGAACCCTTGGTAACTGGTTGGAATTGGAGGTGTCAATATAAACTCAATTCTTAATAAATAGAAATGTATAGATACAAATGTGTATGGTGCACACAAATACATGTCTTCTAGCTCTGCCCATTGAGAAAGCCAAAAAACAATGGTACCCCAGTAGCAATGAGCATACCTACACCCAGATACTGGTTTCTACTCACCATCTTCCTAACTAAAAAGAATCAGCACTTCTTAGAGCAATGATTGATTTAGAGCTAGGTCAAGAAAAGCACAGGATGAGCCTGGGACATCTTGTGGTACAGAAAGTAAAACCAGTGCTCAAAAATGTTGGGGCTATGCGAAAAGGACACAGAGGTCAATTTGAAGGGGCTCCTAATGCTCAAATCTGGAGAATTAGAGCAACAAAATAAATGATAGTAATGGATTATAGCCTATGGAACTCAAAAATACATCAACATAAATAAATGAATAACTAGGAAAATGGGGAGAAGGGAAGTTCCTTTCTTGCTGTAAAATTCCAACTGATAAATGTAATAATGGATATAAATAGAATAATGGAAATAGAAAAATCACCATTTGGTGAATTCGACATTAACAATTGTTTTGGAAAACACCTGGCGGGTGCTAAAATTAGTGATAGAAAGTATAGTTAGAAACAAGATGTTTCCATAATCTCAAAGTGTCTCCCAACAAGATATTTGTTATTTACAAAGGAAAAAATGGTTACTCTTGTGATGGAAACACCTGGAAGACACTTCCTAATCCATGTCACCAAAGTAGTATCACCAGGAAAGGGACAGACTGGCATCACGTGCCTCCTTCTATGAAGCACTGAAAAGAGCACACTTTCACTGTGGAGATTTTCTTACCACAAATGCATGACTTGCAATCAATCATTGAGGAAACATCAGGTAAATCCAAATTAAGGGGCACGCTACCGACAACTGACTCATAGAAGTCAAAGGCAGACCGTGGAACCGCTTCGGCCCGACTGAGACCAGGAAGGCACGGACGGCCCTTTCCGGGACCCTGTGAAAGAATGAAGTCACCCCGGAACTGGCGCCGGGCCTGCCCGGGACCTGCTGCCGGGCGCGGGCGCGGGGCGCTCCGGTGGTGGAGCCCACCGTCCACCTGAAAGGGCCGGGGGGCAGCACGCGGGGCACCAGCGGGGCCCGCCCTCGCCCCCCGCCCCGTCGATGCGGCGCTGCGGGAACAGCCCTGCCCTGGAGCTCGGCGCCCACGGGACAGGGCCCACGGAGCCCGCGCCCCGGCCCGGGCGGGCCCGGCGTCCCCGCGAGAGCGGGCTGGGTCCTGCAGGGTTAGCAGGCCTCGCGTGTTTCCAGTGACAGCCACGAAAACCTTGAAAAGGGATCCGAGAGGCGGTCAATGGAGGCACTTTCCCGAGTCCCCACCCGCCCTCCCGAGAGCCGGGGAGGCCCGGAGCCCTCCGCCCCGCGCCCCCTCTCCGGACTTGCCTGTCCGGAGCGGCCTCCCCGGCTGCTGCGTTGCCATAGCGACCCCAGTCCGCCGGCGCGGTCTCTGCGCGCGCAGTGCACGGCTTAGATCCCGCCGGCCGGAAACGCGAGCCCCGGCACTGGGTTCCGGCTCCTGCCGTCCGCCAGGTCCCGCGCGCGGGAGCCTAGGGGCGGATGGAGTGGGGGTCCCGCCCACCCGGGGGTCCCCGCCCACCCGACCCCAGGCTGGGGTCAGTCTAGTGAGGAAGAAGGACCTGGGGCCGTGCGGCGTGGCCGGGAGGCGGCCGAGGCTTCCCTAGCTGGGCCCAGGACCGCCAGGACGCTGGCTCCCCGAGCCTCCGCCTCGTAGCCCCGAGTGTTGGCGGCCCCGGCGGGCCTGGGCGGGGGCTGCCCGGAGCGGAGAGGGCCTGTGCCTACGCGGGAGAAGGGCCCGGGGCCGCATGAGGGGTGTGGCGCGTAGGTCCACGGGGTCAGTGCGCCGTGCGTGGATCCTCCAGCAGTGAGAGCCCAGATACCGCGGGGGTGCGCGGGTCTCCGCTCGTGCAGGCGGGCGCCCAGGCTGGTGGGGCCGCCCTGGGTGGGCGCCGGGATGGGAGGCTTAGGGGCTCAGGCTGTCTGGCAGGTCCAGCTGCAATTAAGCAGCAAAACCGCCCTTGCAGGCAGCGTTCCTCACAGCGGTGGAAAGCCAACCTTTCTACCAAGGTCCCCACCCCGTACTTGGGACCCTCCTCACCAGCGCCTGCAGGCTCACAGGGGCTGGAGAAGATGTTGTCCCAACAATTGGAGACAACACATGCGCAGCCCGCCTGGCCGGCGGCACCGTGGGGCTCCAGGCAGGGATGGGCACCAGAGGCCCAGGACAGCCTCCAGCACACCCATAGTCCCCCCTTCTGTCAGTCTGTGTTCGCCTGGAAGGCATGCTGGATGCCCTGCACTGGTCCCCAAACTGGTCCTGCCAGACGAGCACCCCAACCCAGTTTACAGCAAGGAAGGTTCTGCTGAAAACGGCAGCTTCTGAGGGACCACAGGACCAACCCAGCGATGAGCGTGACCTCCTCACCTTGCGGCCCGCGTTCCTAACCCGGCCCACTCCCGCCCCTGACCCGAGGGTGGCTTGGGACACAACATGGCCTTGCTTCCCATGGCAGGCGCCGGCTCCTACCGCCCTTTTGTGGTGACACGCAACTTCCCAGCCCCTCCTCCCGTCCGACAGCCCAGAACTTCAGACCCTGTCGCTTGAGCCCCAGCTAAGGCTTCTGGGGAGTCCAGAGGGGGACTCGCCACAGTCACACCTGGCCAGCCCCCACGGCCCCTCTGAGGTCTGAGCTCTTGTCCACTCAGCCTCCCTGGGCCCCTTATCTATGCCCCATGCCCATTAGCTCAGTGGGTGTCCATGGGGCTTGGAGGGATGTGCTGGTGCCAGAGTCTGCCCCTCTGAGCCCCTTGGACCCTGCAGGCTTGGTCCTGTCTGGCGGTGCCCCTCACCCCAGTGCTCAGCCCCCAGCTCAGGCCCCTCACTGATCTGACCAGCATGTAGTGACCACCTCCCCAGTGGCTCCCTGCCCTTCAGGGCCCACCAAGGTGGCATTAACACACACTGACCCAGTAGCCTGACCCGCTCAGCAGCCTCCTCCCGCGACAGCCTACCTGCTGTGTCTCTGGTCCCTGAGCACTCTCCACTGGGTTCCCTGCCTGGGCCCCGCAGGCAGGCCAGACTCCATGTTCTCCCAGCCTGTCTGCCCCAATCTGCCCACAGTCCTGCTAGGCTGCCTACAAAGCCAGTTTCGCTTGTTCTCTTAACTTACAATTGATGAGCTGAACACACAGCGGACAGCAGGTTGCGCTGTGCACGAACCAATGAATCCTCACAAGCAAAACAGCCCGTCCAGCAGGGCCCAGCACAGAAGACCTCACCTCACTCACAATGCCTCTTCCCCCTTGCAGGCAGGTGCCCGCTACCCTGCGGTGGTAGGGCCGGCAAGCTTTGTGCAGCCCACTGCATCCCCACTGCTGCCCAGCGGCAGGTTCTGCGTCAGTGTCCTGGGGCTGCCCTAACACAACCCCAAACGCATACAGACAGCAGCTCTGGGGCCACAAATCCAAACGCACAGTGTCGGCTTTGCTCCCCTCGAAGGCCCTGGCCAGGCCCCTTCCAGCCTCCTGCTGCGCTCTGGGCCCTCAGGCACCTCACCCCATCTCTGCCCCGTCCGTCATCACATGGCCTCCACAAGGACACCAGCCACATTGGATCAGGGGCCCACCCTACTGCAGAGGGACCTCCTCTCAGCTAGTTCCCCCCGTAAGGTCTCATCCTGAGGTACCGGGGACTAGGGTTTCCACAGGTCTGTTTGGGGCCACCACTCAAACCTGGGCCTGCAATGGGCTGATAGCCACAGGGCCAGCTCCCCACAGGGCACCCTATGGTCACCCCATCACAGACGCAGAAGCAGCAGGGAAGCTTGGTGACTAGCACAACAGGATCAGACTGACCCCCCCACCCCAAGCACAAGGTTGGAGCTCGTAGATGCTTGTGAGTTACCTTTGGAGGGTCACCAGAAGACATGAGGGGTTGGTGTCACACCTTCTCTCTGAGCCAACGGGCTCCGAGGGGCCTAGCTCCCTGGTCATGTGGGGTGGCCCCAGTATCACAGGGGCCCTCACAGCCACCCTTGAGAATGGTTCCAGAACTCTCTCCACCTGATGAGGAAACTGAGGCAGAGGAACTCACGACCAGGCCAAGGCCACGCAGCCCGGCAGAGATGGGTCTGTCCTGCTCCCATCGTGTCCCCAGCGTGTGGCCCAGAGCAGATGCCAACACTGAGTGGCAGGCTGGCTCTGTCACGGGGAGGCTGGGGAGGTGGGAACCAGGAAGGGCCATCTCTCGAAGGGCTGGGCTTGCGCTGTGGCTCCCATATCCCAGAATACAGCCTGACCTTGGCCTCTGAGTGACCACTGGTGGGCAGCTGTCCTGGCAGGGGATATCTTCCCAGGACAGTGCCCCCAGGGGACACAGGAAGTGCCAGGGGCTGCTCGAGGAGGCTGCAGTTCTGACCACTCCAGTCCTTCTCCGATTTTGTCTGTGGGCTCATGGTGTGGGGAGCTGAGCTCACAGTGGGAGCCCTCCACAGCCTCTCATGAGGCCCCAAAGGCACAGGAGTCTGGGGTGGCGCCGGCTTGGGCACTGACCTGCATGGCCTTGGGCAAGTCACTTCCCCTTGGATTAGGAAAACACTGTGTTGGGCCTGTGGCAAGAATCTCTCCATCTGCTCCAGGTCCCAGAAGCAGGAGAGGTGTGGCCTGCTGCCTGGGCCTCTGCACATGAGGACACCTCCAGGTCCTGGGGGAGCGGGGACCCAGATGGGGTATTCAGTGGGAGGCACCCTTCATCCGCAGTGTGTGCCAGACCCTAGGCAGCCAGCCAGATGGTCCCTGTCCCCCCAAAACCCGGGGTGCCCTGGGGCAGAGGAAGCCATCATCACAGCTCCACAACCAGGGAGAAGCTCTGGTGGGAAGGACAGCAGTCCTGGAAGGGACAAGAAGACCACGGGCCCAATGTGGCTGCCTCCTAGAGGTCACGGCCGGGTGGCAGACGCAGGGCTGTGGGGGTCATTGCAAGCTAGGGACATAGGCAGGACAGAAGAGATGTTCCCTCAAGGCTGGTGCAAAGGGGTGCCTGCCAGATGGGTAGGCACTGAGGAGGCGCACGCCTCACCAGCACGACCCCCGGAGCCACCGTGCCCAGGCGGTGGCATCCACCTGCCTTTGCTGCCACACAGACGTCAGCCCAGGAGGTGACATGGGGGCTGCGGGACTTGCAGCGTGTTCACATGGTAGCCAAGACCCCAGAGTCCATGAGGCCCACCACTCGGGCGAAAATGCAAAAACTAGGTGGGAGGCTGGGGGGTGGCGAGTGGCCCCGCGCAGAGCGTGGACAGATCCCGGGCCCTCTGCTTCCTCACGTGGAACCTGCCCTCAAGCGGGCACCACTGTGAGGGGCGAGGGACAGGCCGGCTGTCCGATGACCCCGGGCCAGGTCTGCCCCCACCCACAGTTCCTCTGGCTGCAGCGCTGAGTCACGGAGGCCAGAGGGCTGCTCCGGAGAGCAGGAAGGTGGGGCCGGAAGGGGTGCTCAGAGCTCGGCCAGCAGCCAGCCCCACCCCCTCAGCCCTGTGGTACCGGGCCTGGCTCCTCGCCCAGGCCTGGCTCCTGTCCTGCCCTCCATTCTGGCCTGGTGAAGGCCCGGAAGCCCATCCTCCACCTCAGAACCTTCCTGTGCCTCCAAGTACCAGGCAGGGGCTGGGGTCACGACCTCTGTCCCCTGGGGCAAGGACGCCCCAAATTGAGACTGGGGGAACTAGGGCGGGCTGTAACTTAGGGTGGTGACCAGTCCCGGCGAGCCAAGCTTAATGGCTAGAGAGCAAAATGGAGGAACAAGATGAGCCCGCACCTGGGTCGCACCTCAGCAGGCTGGCAAGAGGCGGCCGAGGCAGGTCATGTGGGCAGAGCATGCGGGCAGGGCTGCATCAGCTGGGGCACCAGGCAGCCCTCCTGAGCAGGTGAGACCTGAATGGTGGCGGAGGAGGAGAGGACAGAGCCCCAGCCTGGGCTGCGGACCAAAAGGCTGGCTTGGGAGGCACCCTCTGGCCGTTGCATGGGGATCAGGCTGCAGGGTCTCCACCAGGCCCCAGGCCCCAGGCCAGCGGCTCCAGTGAGAGCGCTTCCCAAACGTCCCTCACTCACCTGCACTCACTGTGTGCTCTGCTCTGGGCTCTGCTCCAGGCACTAGGTGGGCACAGGCTCTCCCAGCCTTGGGGGGCCACAGCCCAGGGCATAAGGAGCCATTGGACTTGCCCAGCCTGGATATAGGAATGTGGGGAAGAAAGAAACACAGATGGCTGCCTGAGGTGCAGGGGCACAGGAGGGAGTCTGCAGGGGCCAAGGGGCATTTGGGGTTCTCAGGGGTCCTGGGCTGAAGGGTATCTCAAGGTTGCCAGTGTGAAGGTGGTTTGAGGGCCCTGAGAATGGTTGCGGCACTCCCCAGACGGTATGGACAGAGAAGAGTGGTCAGGAGGCGTGGGGAAGCCCTCGGAGCTCCAGGCAGACAAGCCCTGAGAAGTGGCCCCTGTGTTTGGGAGT